AGCATTGATTGTATACATTGGAAATGGGAGAAATGCCCAATTGCATGGCATGGGATGTATACTGGTCATTGTCGTGAACCAACTATAATTCTAGAGGTGGTGGCTTCACAAGATCTTTAGATATGCCATGCCTTTTTTGAAATATCTAGATCATTAAATGATATTAATATTTTTGATCGATCACCTATCTTCGTTGCACTTGCTAAAGGTCGTACTGCTCCTGTCAATTATACAATTAAGGGGTATGAATATACAATGGGATACTATTTAGCAGATGAGATTTATCATAATTGGTCAACTTTTGTTAAGCAATCCCAAGACCACTAGAAGCAAAGAGAAAATATTTTGCAAGTAAGCAAAGTCTGCAAGAAAGGATTTATTTGGGATGCTTTAATCTCGTTTTGCAATTGTACGTGGACCTGTTCGATACTGGGATGAAGAAACGCTTGCAAATATTATGAAAGCTTGCATAATAATGCATAATATGATTATTGAGGATGAAGGAGCAATGAACCTTGGATTTGACCATGAACGTAAAGTCAATTCCTTTATATCAGTGTCACATGGTGAAATAACAGAACTACATGATTTTCTTTAAACTTATAATCGAATCAATGATAAAGCAACTAACTCTCAACTGTAAGAAGATTTGGTTGAACATTTATGAGAACAATATGGTAACGAGTAGAATCATTAGCTTTGAACTTATGTCATCATAATTTTCAAGTTTTTTATTTTTTTTCATTATGTTTGTTATCTTTTAAGTTAATTAATCCTACTTATTGTTGTTAAGTGTTATAAGAACTTCAAAAAATATTATGAATTGATACCACTTTTATAACAATATATTTAAAATAACCAATAAATTTCTAAATATTTAATTAAAAATATATTACATTAAACAATAAATAAATCTAGTTAATTAAAAATACATTACATTAAATAATAAATAAATCTAGTTAATTAAAAATTAAAACCCTTCTTTTGTATAATTTCTAACTTTCTATTTTAAAAATACGCTGCAGAAATTGGATTCAAATTAGAAATATCCATTTTCATAATTTGTTCTTCTTTCTCAATCATGTCCAATTCTTGTTTCTCTTGACTTTGTTGAATCATCATAGCTTGTTGCTCTAACATAATTTTTCTGTCTTGTTTCTTCTGATCCTCAATTTCAACTAGAGTATCCCTGAATTGTTGTAAGAGATTTGTTACAGTTGTCTCCTGATTAGTACTTAAAAGTGCATTTTTATCATGGTTTTATATCATCATTTTGCACTTGAAGTATCAATAACTCCTTAACCAAAGCATGTTTTATAATAATATATCTAATAATATAAGATACCTTTAATTTGTGGTAAATGTCTATTTTTAATGCAGGCCTATCACATAAATGAAAGGATTGATTGATGACTTGAAGAACTTAAATTGCAAGGATAAAGAGATGGCCAAACTTAGAAAAGAGATGTCGGTGCAATCCAAACCGGAACACTGTTCGGTAATTGGGTCATATCTGGAGCTACAGATCTCAGATTTAGGTCCAATTTATATGGATGGAAAGGTCTAAAAAGGCCATTATCAAGTCCAAATTGTAGCAACAACAAAGAAGCCCGAATCTATCTTCCAGCCCGAGCACTGTTCGGTATTTTGGCCATATCTAGAGTTCTAGAAGTCCAAATGAGCTGAATTGTTTACACAAGATAGCTGAGACAATTGCCTACAACTTTCATGTTTGTAACTGGCTCCAATTTTGACACTGAGACAATTGCCTACAACTTTCATGTTTGCAACTGGCTCCAGTTTTGACGTTATCAATGACGTTTTGGGCAGACAAGAGAAGATAAGGATTGTCACCAAGTCAAAAGTTGGCCACCCACTTATCAATTAGTCATCAAATCAATAGTTCCCAATTTTGGCCTATAAAAGGAGGCATTTGCCATGCATTTAGGCATCTTGGTTTCCAGATCAAGATCATGCTCTTCCTTTCTCTCTTTGTATTTTTTGTAATGTTTATGCTTTGCTTTCATTAATATCAAGTTTATGCTTTTCATTTTCTTTCCTTTACTTAGTTAGCTTTTATGTTCTTATTTTGTTTATTTATTTTTCTTTCTTTCATTATGTCTAGCTAAGTTAATTATGTCAAGGTGAAAAGGTTACACTAATGGTGTAAGAATAAGTATAATGTAAACTTAATATGGACTTTAATGTTTGATACTAACATGTTTTATATTTGTTATCTTGTTCACTCTTTAATACTTTGCTTGTTAAATGACTAATCTTGATTTATGTTGTATAACACTTGGTACAACAAATGCTTGGCACTTTCATAGACCATAATGTATGGTATAACCGACACCTGAGCTATGAAAGGAACTTGATTTGTTGTTAACATAAGTTATAATCATGAATGCTTGACCAGATTTACAAGTATTAGCATTAATTGAATAAGAGGACTAATGTAATCATGTTAACAATATATAATCTGATTGGAACCTCCTTTGTGTGTGGTTTCCAATTCAATAATAAGAGTTTATACTATACTTGTTTGATATACCATTAGTGGAACCTCTAACCTTGACATTTGTTATTATTATTGCTTAATCCTTACATTAATATTTGATCTCCAAGTTCTCATCATCATCATCTTCTTCTTCTTCTCTTTCTTTATTATTATTATTATTATTGTTGTTGTTGTTATTGTTGTTTTATAATTGTTGTTTATAATTTGTACAATTAACCTCCCTGTGGTTCGACCCCGGTCTTGCCGGGTTATTTATTACTTCGACACTCCTGCACTTGGGAGAAGACATCAATCTTTTAGTCATGTCATCTCCCCAACTTTATCTTTTCCTTGTTTACGTTTAAGTCATTTCTTTGTAGCCTTCTGACCAATTAGTCTATCTTGATAAATCAACGGTTCATTGTCTTCTCCTAAACTAACAGAATCAGGGGTAGATAGAGCTGATGAAGTTGAACTTGCATTGACATGACTTTTTTGTTTTTTGTTTGACTTTTGATGTTGACTTGCACACTCAAATTGTCATTTGGGTTCTTTTTTTAAGATAACCCAACAATATTCTAGTTGAAATCGTTTGCTAACGCAAAAAGCATACATTTGTCGAGCATCATTAATCTGGTAAGTAAAAAATTAGAGAAATTAAATAATTTTAAAATATATGTTAAACAATTTAACATGAAAATAAATATTAAAATTACCCTTGATTCTTCGGCCATTCCACTTTACTGATGATTTTCAATTTGAGTAACAAATTCAACAAATTTACCGACTTCTCTATTTATTTCTTGCCATCTATTTGAGATGTTTATTTGGGAATGATTATTCAAGTTTTCTCTATTCTCTATAAAGTAAGCATGTACTTAAGCCCATAACTGTTTTGTTTGTTGTTTAACTCCTGTAATTGGATCTTTGCTTGTATTTAGCCATACAGAGACAAGTAAACAATCTTCCTCTGGTGAGAAGTTTTTACTTCTTTGTGATTTTTTTCTTATATGGACATTTAAATTAGAGTATGTTAAGTCATCAATTAATTGATTAGAATTACTTGGTTGAGAGAGAATATCTTCTAACTCACTCATAAGAAAGTTGATGAAAGAGCTTGGAAAATTTGAATCCATCTACATTAAAAAAAACCTCAAGTTAAAACCTTATAAGAGAGTGTAAAAGAGGCGCACATTCAATGTCTAGCAATTTTATAATTTACATATATGTGAATTAATAACAAGTATTGCATCCCACTTGTTCTAACATTACAATTTGACTATTTTTTAGAACTAAGAGATGATTGATATACTAGTTTAATTGTATTTTCAACAAGACAAAATATAATTAACCTTAAATTAAAAAAAAATCAAAAATAAATTTTAAATATGTCACTCTATATTTTTTTATCAATATCAACTATCATTATTACTTCCTCTTAATTTTGTCAAAGATAACAACATAAATAAAAAATTATTTTCTTTAACCCATATCAACATAAATAAAAAATTATTTTCCTTAACCCCTAAAAAAAACATAAAATAACAAAGAAATAAAAATCATCACAAATATCAAATTAACAACAAAAGATCTACAAGATCAAGAGATATTAAAGAGTAAATATAAAAAGCTTTTAAATAAATATACCTTTTAATTTTAGCTAATTTACATAAATGATGTTATTAATTAACCAGAGAATAATTGATTCTTGTTTTTCTAAATTTGAGAGAAGATTGAGGCACAATACAAGATTTAAAAAAACAAGTTTCTTTCCTTGCTTTTAAAAAATAAACAAATACTATTTTAGCTATTTTACATTAATAAAAATAATCATTGGTAACATTAATAAAATTTTAGCTATTTTACATAAATTTATAGAAATAACACTTATTAAATTGAAAAGTTATTTTATTTTTTTTATTACTTGTTTTGTTAGAATGGTCAAATAAAAAAATAAAAATTACAAAAAACATGTTTTTTAATTTGCCTTCCCCGTAGCTAGCTAATGACGCTAAGCACAAAAGTGGCATGGGAAATACATGGAAAGAAAAGTGAAAAAAATTAAAGAGAAAAAAAAAAAAAAAAAAAACAGAGAAAACATTGTCATGTTGCGTGAAAAACGACCTCGTTTTAATAGCCCCCAAGCAAATGATCTTCATGCCTCCTTATCCAATCACAATATCAAGGCACCTTATCAGACAAAAAAACCCGAAGCGTGGTTCCTCGCTCGCTCGCTCGCTCACTCACTCACTCACTCACTCATGGCTTCACTTCGTCTTCCATGTTGTCTCTCATCAAAAACGCCTTCCTTCTTCATTAATCTAATAACCCCCAAGTTATCTTCTCTCCATAACCACCGTTACAACTTTACTTTTAAAACCACCACCAACATCTCATTATCTCACTCTCTTTGTTTTCCAATTAGAAACAACAACAAATTCAGGCATTTCCTTTTGCATTTCTCTTCCACAACTCAAGACCACCCGGTTGTTGATTCCTCTTCACTTGATGATGTTGTCACCGAATACCAATCAAAGGCTGAAGAAAAAGAAGAAGAGTTTTCGAAAACCAGACTGCTTGCTTCGAATGTTCCATGGAATTGTACTGCAGAAGACATTAGGGCTCTGTTTCAGAAGTTTGGGACAGTTGTAGATGTTGAGGTTGGTATTTCTGTTTCTTGAATTTATTTTATTTGTTGTTTTCTTACATGGGTTTTCTTTACTGGGTGTTCGAGTGATGCGGTTTTTTTTTTTGGTCAAGCTTTCAATGTATAGCAAGACCAGAAACAGGGGCTTGGCGTTTGTCACTATGGGCTCCCCCGAAGAGGCAGTTGCTGCTCTTAACAACCTCGAATCTTATGTAAACACATTATCTTCGATTCTTTCCTTCTTTGGAATATGAAATATTTTTGTCATAATGCATGCCTTATTGGAGACAAAGGAGAAATCAGATTGAGAGTTATAACTTTTAAGGATTAGCCGATTTTAAAATGCCATTTGAATATGTACCTTGATCCAAGTTATTCAAACAAAGGACAGATGCTCTTGGTGTTTTTGGATTATCTTGTCTTCAAAAGGTAACTACAGCTCACAGAATACTTGCATATGGTATTCCTGCAAATCTTACTGATGAATATCTTCAAATTGAAGAAAGCCCTGCGATAAAAAGTGTTAAAGCTTTTGTCAAAGCAATCATAGAAGTTTTTGGTGATTAGTATTTAAGGGCATCAAACGAGGCTGATATTTGTCGATTATTATCAATTGGAGAGCAACGTGGATTTCCAAGGATGTTAGGGAGCATTGATTGTATACATTGGAAATGAGAGAAATGCCTAATTGTATGGCATAGAATGTATACTGGTCATTGTCATAACCAACTATAATTTTAGAGGCAGTGGCTTCACAAGATGTTTGGATATGGCATGCCTTTTTTGGAATGTCTGGATCATTAAATGATATTAATGTTCTTGATCGGTTACCTATCTTCGCTGCTCTTGCTGAAGATCGTATTGCTCCTGTCAATTATACAATTAATGGACATGAATATACAATGAGATACTATTTAGCAGATGGGATTTATCCTAATTGGTCAACTTTTGTTAAGATAATCCCAAGACCATTAGGAGCAAAGAGAAAATATTTTGCAAGTAAGCAAGAGTCTACAAGAAAGGATGTAGAGCAGGCATTTGGGGTGCTCCAATCTCATTTTGTAATTGTATATGGACCTGTTCGATACTGGAATGAAGAAATGCTTGCAAATATTATAAAAGCTTGCATAATAATCCATAATATGATTATTGAGGTTGAAGAAGCAATGATCCTTAGATTTAACCATGAACGTGAAGTCAATTCCTTTATATCAGTGTAACATAGTGAAATAACAGAACTACATGATTTTCTTCAAACTCATAATCGAATTAGGGATAGAGCTACTAGCTCTCAACTACAAGAAGATTTGATTGAACATTTGTGGGAACAATATGGCAACGAGTAGAATCTTTAGATTTTAACTTCTTATGTTATCATAATTTTCAGGTTTTTTT